TGTGTGTTTATATATATATATATATTCGTCCATCTAACTGAATAAATGCAATAAACATGTCATTAGTTAACGAATTAACTGATGAATTACTTAATGAATAAATAGACACAAAAAAGGAGAATACCATTGATGATTGATGTACTATCATATGGGTAGTTTTCCAAAATAGGGTCCTTTTTTATAGGGGTGCCGTGCTATATTGGGAACCTAAACAGGGACCCTGATTTAGAAAACTACCCATATGGTTATGCATTCAGGGTTTAGCTTTGGTGGCTTCAGTCCTGGTGAGCTCTTCCCATGATTGCCTTAGGAGGTCTAAGATCTCAGATGTAGGTAAGATTAGCCTTTGGGGTTCGTTTGGGGATTAAGACTTAGGGCCTCGGATGGCGGATTGAGGGTTTAGGGCTTTGTAAGTTTTAGGGTTTTTTTGGCTTTGGTATGAGATCGAGTCTCCGAATTTTCTTGGCTCAAGTCTTCCGGCCTTTGGGTGGATTTTCCCCCGCGTTTAGGTCAGGGCGTCCAGCTTCCGGATTTCGAGGCGGTTTAGGGTTTAGGGTTTAGGGCTTAGGGCGGATTACATCGACTACAGCCTAGAACTCGCTGTGAAGATGCCAAAAAAATGAAGACCCGAGCCTCCAAGCAGACTTGAAGCAATGGCTATGGGACCCTGATAACCGCTTACAGCCCTAAATTCGTAGGATGCCCATTTGCCATTTTTTTCGTGGGAGGACGGGCTTCTTCTAATCAAGCAGGCATATGTGAAGGCATTTTTCTCCGGGGCGCGCTGGCTCAGCTGGCTTGCAAAATCTTGCTTCTCTCCTTGTCGGCCCAGCCCTTGTTCCGAGGAGACTCGCCGACCGCGGAGGCGGGCTGAAAGTAGGCCTTGATGACGGAGCCTCAGAGTCTGAAGCAAGAGAAGGGGCCTGAAACGGCTTCTGGGGACTACAGCTGCGAGGGCTCTTAAAGCAAGACTGATATGCAGGAGTTTTAGCAGAGAAACCCTAAACCCTAAAACCTAGACCCGAAGCCCCAACTCCTAAAACCCCATGAGTACCACTCGTAGTCATGGTGTGGGCCCTTTTGAGTGCCCCGACACGAAGCGTGAAGGCTTTCGGGTTTACCTCAACCCTTAAGAACCTCCTTTTTTAAGGTTCCTGATTATGATTTCTTCATATAAGTCCGTTAAAAGTTCGGTTCTTTGGGGTCTAGGTGGGGCTTCAGAACGGCGAGAATCCTACAGGGAGTTCTTTCTGGCCGTCCGAGCTTCAAATGTACTGCGTGTCCACCCGCTCCAAGAAGGAGTGCGTAGGCAGGTAGAAGCCCACCTGGAGAGGGTCCGCCCTTTGAGGGTTTAGGGCTTAGCGTTTAGGGTTGAGGCTTTAGGGTTAGGGTGCCTGAATCACATGCAACATCAATCCCTCGCTTGCTCAGCAACATTACTCCGTAGGGCCCCAAATAAACCTGTAGCCCAAGAGCCCCAAAGCATTCGTCCAATTATTCAGGCTCCTATATTCAAACCGTTTATGCAAGTTTCAGACAATGGGGATCCCCAAAACAGCTGAATAGTAGTATCCTGAAGAAATGGATCCGCAAGTAAGGAGTCTAATCACCGAGTTCTGGGCCCTGCTAGCAGTATGATCCAGGCAACTCCGATTTTGCAACGTACTTGCGACCTCAGTGACGACCTTACTACCCCAAACTCTAAGCCCTAACCACATCCACGAAAGACCCGATGCAACCTAGCACAATAGCAATCCAACGAAAGCCTTTATCCCTCATGCAGGCAAGCGCAGGCCAGTAACCCTAGACTAAACTTTCAACCCCAAACCCGAAACTCTCAACTTGAACCTCTCGAGCCGAACCCTAAACCTTAAACCTCAACCCTAAACCGCCGAAGCCCTATATAAAGCCGAACCCTAAACCTTAAACCTCAACCCTAAACCCTAAACCCTAAACTCTAAATTCCCTCTCTCATCCAGACTGGCCAGGCCTGAGCCAAGTGCTCGGAGTGCGGCAGCTCCACGTCATAAATCCCCACGTCGTCCCCGTAGAAGTTCACGGGCTCCAGGTGGAGGGGGTAGAAATAATTCCTGCCGGGTTTAGCGTTTATGGGTTTAAGGTTTAGGGTTTAGGCTTTGGGGTTTCGAGGGCTTCGGGTGCAAAAACGGGTGGGGGGGTGGTTTATGGCTTATGTCTTTGGGTAGCAGAGTTGGCTGCTTCATGGTGACAGAGTTGTGGCAGCAAAGATGAAGGCGTTCGGCTTCTGGGTGTTCACTGGCACTTCTTGGTGCTGCAGGCTACCACGTAACGCAGAGGCCTTCCGAGCATCCGGATGTAAGCATTGCGCAGAACCCTAAACCCTAAACCCTAAACCCCTAAACCCCTAAACCCAGTTCTTAACCTGTAAGCACGAGGCCTTAAACCCTCAACCGGTCAACGCTTAGGGAATGGGGGAATGGATCCCTATGATAGCCCCTTAAGATCACCTATAGTAGTCCTAAAAACCCATTCCTCCATTCCCTACTAGGAACCGCGACGTTATTTTCTGCTGATGCCAAAAGAAGAAAAACTAAATGCTGTAGTAGAACCTTGGACTCCGAAAATTAAAATTTCAAGCCAGTCAAAGGCGAACGCTTCCATAACCCTAAACCCTAAAC